CACTTGGACTAGCATCCTGAGCACAAGTTGTTAGGCACTTTGACTACAAATGCACAAAATATTGTCCACAGAGCAGGTGAGTTACTATCCTTTAAAGACAACTCTCAGATGTCTGTCATCTGCAAGGAAGGTGAATTTACAACAAGGCTGGCTGTGGAAGCAGACACTAAGCTGGGACTAGGTGGGAAAGAGATTTCCTGGGAGAGATGGCTGTGAAGGCTCTGAGGAGGAGGGAGCCAGACTAGCTGGAGACAGGCCCAATGTCCTTATTGGGCACAGCAGCCATAGTGCCTAGGAGCCATGGCATTTTTGGGGTCCATGACAATAATTTTATTTTAAAATTGGAAGGGTAAAATGAATATAATAATTTCTAGCCTACATCATATACCTCTTTATGCCAATGCAGTAATAAACCAAAATGTTAAGGGTTTTTTTTTTTTTTTTTTTTTTTTTTAAATGGAGGAATGGGCCCACCACAGCAAAAGGGCCTGGGGCCCACAAAAGTCATAAAGATGCCCTGGGTAGGGAAAACTTTCAGCTCAGGATGCAAACCTGACCCCTGAGGAAGAGGAGAACCTGGGCCAACGGGAGCTGCTGAAGGGCTCCATGGCAGACACAATGGCCTGCCCCTCTGCTGTGCTTGGTCACTCTGGAGCAGGGAGCTGGGAGCAGCCCAGAGTGGTGTCTTGGTACACTCTCCTGCAGGTCCAAAGGTGAGGTGGCTGGAGACCCAGTCAATGATGGTTTCTTCAGCAAGTTCTCTTAAAGAGGATCTCTGTGGCCCCTGCAATTAGGTATCCAGGAAACAAAGTATTATAATGTATGTACATTATAATACAAAGAATTATAGCTCTCCTCCACTCAACTCTCCCTGCTCATATCTCACAAAAAGATTCTGTTTCACTGGTAAGTCATGTTACAAAGGGCAATGAAGATTTCATCTCTGCCTTTGATACTCACGTGAGTTCTTACAGAACAGAAGCAGATTACAGACACTAACTGGTCATAGGCATTCTCCACCACTAGAATGTTCTCGTCAAGGCTGGCTGGCCACCAGGAGTGCTTTAGAGGGTTTTCAAGCTTGGGATATGGAGGAGTGACCTTGCCTCCATATCAGAGGTTCTTTGATTCTATTCAGTCTGACATTCTGATTCTTCCTTTAAAATTCCTCCCCAGAGGTGGCAAAGTGGAGCCTACAGTGGTTTCCAGCCTGTAGATATGTTTATTTGGCACATACGAAGTTTAAAAAAATATGGTAGGGAGTGTTAGGCGTTGAATTGTGCACACTCAAAATTCATATGTTGAAGTCCTAACCCCCCAGGACTTAGAATGTGACCTTGCTTGGACACAGATGGGTGCAGATGTCATTAGTTAAGACGAGGTCTTGCTGGAGTAGGGTGGGCCTCCAATCCAATATGACCGCTGTCCTTATTAAAAGGGGAACTTTGGGCACAGAGAGAGATGTACACGGGGAGAATGCCACGTAAAGATAAAGGCAGAGACCTTCAAGCCAAGGAATGCCAAAGATTGCCAGCACGCCACCAGAAGCTTGGAGAGAGGCCCAGGACCAATCCTTCCCTCACGGCCCTGAGAAGGAACAACCCCTGCTGACACCTTGATCCTTGACTTCTGGACTCCAGAACTGTGAGGCAATACATGTGTGTTGCTGAAACCTCCCATTTTGCAGTATTTTGTGACAGCTGCCCTAGCAAACCACACAGGAAGTATCTCTTAAAAATGGATAGATTTGCCATGAAAACCTGAATTCCAGACTAGGATGGGGAAAGCCTGCAGCACGGGGCTGGATGCCGGGCATCCACTGGGTAGGCCCTGCTCTCTCAGGGAGGCTGGAGAACACGGGGGTGAGGGCCAGGCTTCTCACCCCAAGCTGGTTATTGCTGCATAAGAATATGGGCCCAAAAGACTTCATGTCTAAAACACCAAAAGCAACGGCAACAAAAGCCAGAATTGACAAATGGGATCTCATCAAACTAAAGAGCTTCTGCACAGCAAAAGAAACTACCATCAGAGTGAGCAGGCAACCTACAGAATGGGAGAAAATTTTTGCAATCTACTCATCTGATAAAGGGCTAATATCCAGAACCTACAAAGAACTCAAACAAATTTACAAGAAAAAAACAAACAACCCCATCCAAAAGTGGGCAAAGGATATGAACAGACATTTCTCAAAAGAAGACATTCATACAGCCAACAGACACATGAAAAAATGCTCATCATCACTGGCCATCAGAGAAATGCAAATCAAAACCACAATGAGATACCATCTCACACCAGTTAGAATGGCGATCATTAAAAAGTCAGGAAACAACAGGTGCTGGAGAGGATGTGGAGAAATAGGAACACTTTTACACTGTTGGTGGGATTGTAAACTAGTTCAACCATTATGGAAAACAGTATGGCGATTCCTCAAGGATCTAGAACTAGATGTACCATACGACCCAGCCATCCCATTACTGGGTATATACCCAAAGGATTATAAATTATGCTGCTATAAGGACACATGCACACGTATGTTTATTGCAGCACTATTCACAATAGCAAAGACTTGGAATCAACCCAAATGTCCATCAGTGACAGACTGGATTAAGAAAATGTGGCACATATACACCATGGAATACTATGCAGCCATAAAAAAGGATGAGTTTGTGTCCTTTGTAGGGACATGGATGCAGCTGGAAACCATCATTCTTAGCAAACTATCACAAGAACAGAAAACCAAACACCGCATGTTCTCACTCATAGGCGGGAACTGAACAATGAGATCACTTGGACTCGGGAAGGGGAACATCACACACCGGGGCCTATCATGGGGAGGGGGGAGGGGGGAGGGATTGCATTGGGAGTTATACCTGATGTAAATGACGAGTTGATGGGTGCAGCACACCAACATGGCACAAGTATACATATGTAGCAAACCTGCACGTTGTGCACATGTACCCTACAACTTGAATTTTAATAATAATAAATAAATTAAAAAAAAAAAAAAAACAGTGTCATAAAAAAAAAAAAAAGAAAAAAGAAAAAAAGAATATGGGCCCAGTACTATCAGATGTTTTTATTTTTCTAGACAAGCTTGGTTTCTGTTTCTCAATGTGGGGAAAAACAAGATTTCAAACGCTAGCTACTAATTTACCACTCTCTATTTTCTCCCTGACTCAATCAACTTCATTCATACACTTAATCTGGCTGCCTCCTCTGAGAATTTGAGTTCGTAATCTCCGTTTATTCACTGTTGTGTGGTTTGGCAAGACGATAAGGTAAATTATATTCAAATAAGATTATTCAGGGGATTCAGGGTGTTGAACAACTTGCCATCCGGAGAAAGTGAGCTTTGACCTGTCCATTTTTCCCCTCTGCCATGTTGAGATGAGGACCTTTCTGAGACCATGTCTGTACATCAAATAACCATTTGTTGAGGGCCCACCACATGCTGGGCTATGTGCTAGATACAAAGTAAACGTCCAGTGTATAAATGTATATGCTCCTTCTAATATTTTTTTCTGCTCTTCATAATGGAGAAAAGGCATTCTTTCCTTATTTTATTTTATTTTTTGGAGACAGGGTCTCGCTTATCACCCAGGCTGGAGTACAGTGGTGTGATCACAGCTTACTGCAACCTTGAACTCATGGGCTCAAGTGATTCTCCTGATTCAGCCTCCCTAATAGCTAAGACCAGAGGTGCATGCTACCATGCCCAGCTAATTTTAAGAAAGTTTTTTCTGTAAAGACGGGGTCTCTCTATGTTCCCCAGGCTCGTCTCAAGTTCCTGGCCTCAAGCAATGCTCCCGTCTCAGCCTCCCAAAGTGTTGGGATTAAGGCATGAGTCACTGCACCTGGCCAGGAATTCTTATTAACCAGAGATTATGTCATGGAAATGAAGATATTAAGCTGTAATTGTTCTGAGCTTGTAAATAGAAAGGGCATTCTGTTGAAGCTGCATTGCATAGCACTTCTCTGTCATCACTCAAATAAATTCATACAAAATTGCTAACAATGATAGCTTACCCTTTATACAAAACAGGCTATAGGGCAAGCATGGTTCTAGAATTGTGAATGGCATTGTAATTGTTAGGCAGCTACAATGTACCAGGCACATGCTAAGCACTTTACATACATGACTCCATGTAATATTCATTGCCTCTATGAGGAAAGTATTTGATTGTCATTCTAGAGATCCGGAAATTGAGACCCAGACATACTCAGAAACTTGTTCAAGGTCACAGGGCTAGTAAGAAGTGGAACGGGACTCAACCTCAGTTCTCTTCAATGCTAAGTCAAGGCTGTCTCCATTCTGCCACATGGCTTCTGTGTTTCACCAAGATGCCCCTAACAAGGGCCAGCCCCTGGGTCCAGAGCTCACAAAGACCTGCCAAGAGTGATACCACATATTCATTCCTACAAATTTCAGTGTCGATTGACTTGCATGCTATTAGCAATACACACATTGCCATGTAGTTGGAATTCAAAATCTTAGTTTCACTCAAAACACACATGGTGACATCTTGCATTAATTGTAAACATGTGCAGGAGGGTCTCTCCATGCCCTTTTAAGAATAGATGGTAAGCTTTATGTCCTCTTCAGAGTCTTATAACTCAAATAAGGATTGTGAGGGAGTGGCTTCTAGGGTAATGTTCCATTTCTTTCCATGGGTGTGTTCAGCTTGTGAAAATTTAAGCACTCGACAGATGACACATCTACTTTTCTCTATGTATATTTTACTTGAATCAAAAGTAAGGAAAGTAAAAGGAATGGTCTCATCCTGTATTTAGCAGAGTGCAATGAACCCCATGGACCCATCTCTCAGCTGCAACATTTCTCCATCCACTCATGGCCAAACCTCTGTCAGCTGTAACTCATCCACTTCCTCCTCACCATTCCTGCTGGATTATTTTGAATGCAGAATCACACCATTTCACCTGAACCTCTTCCCTTCCCCACCCCCAACTCTTACGCTGTACTCTGTCTCTCTGATTTTCAGGCCACTACATGTACGTGGACTCGGTTTATGTGAAGCACTTCCAGGAGGTGGCACAGCTCATCTCCCCGTTGACCACGGCCCCCATGGCTGGCTGCCTGTCATTTTATTACCAGATCCAGCAGGGAAATGACAATGTCTTTTCCCTTTACACTCGGGATGTGGCTGGCCTTTACGAGGAAATCTGGAAAGCAGATAGGCCAGGGAATGCTGCCTGGAATCTTGCAGAGGTCGAGTTCAATGCTCCTTACCCCATGGAGGTAGGTGTACTGGTGTGCACCAGCTGTGCCAGGGTGGGCGCTCTGCAGATGTGCCACCCACACACAGAGCTGGAGATAGAGAGGCTGTGCAGTCTCACACTGAGTCTGTCTTTTCTGCTGTGCCTGAACCATGCTTTTTCTCATCCTCAGCCCCTCTCCTGCTCTCCCTTCCTCTGCGTCCCCTTTGCCTGCCTCCTTTATTACCTTCATTTCCTAGCAAGAGTCATTTTTATGAGAAAAAATATGGCAAAAGCCAGTCAACCAACTGGACTTCTTGGCGACCCTCTCCTTCTGAAGCTTGCACTGTGGTCACAGAGGGTTCAAACGAGGAGATCAGAACCCTCCAAGTAAAACTCAGTCTGGAGTTACCTTTCCTGAGAGCTGTTTTGAAGGTTTTCCTTACTTGAGTGAACTGTTTTTCTAAAAAAAAAAAAAAAAAAAAGTGACTCATTTCTTTTTTTGCAACATAAATAATGTTGTAAAATCAGAAATAAACTTGCTATTATGGCCCTAGTTTGAAATAAGGCTTGATGCCTTCATTTTAAAACTTTTTCCGGTTATATAAGTGATACGTTCAATGCAGAAGAATTAGAAAATTCAGAGACATGAAATGAATTAAAATGCCCTCAGCCAACTTCACAAAGGGGAGGACTACTAACATTAAAGGTTTACTATCTTTTCGACCTTTTTCTAAGCACATACATTGATACATGTCTATATCTATGTATGTATTTCAGAAGCTACGAGCACTTTCAGTACTGACTATCCGGCCAAGTAGATAAAATTATCTCCGTATTTACAGACAAGAAGAGAGAAAACAGAGTGTCCAAGAAATTGGACATTTTTTTCTAGGTCACACAGCTGGTGAATGCCAGAGAACTTAGTAACTAAGTTCGTGGACTAAAATCTGACCCAAAGCTGAGGAAGGAGGCCCAGCTCTGTCTGAGGACCCCGTAGCACCACTAGAATCAGTGGGTGCAGCAATATGGTTGCTATAATATTGCCATAAAGATTTGGAGCTATAAGTAGAGTCTCGGTTACCCCAAGTTATTAATGTCCCTCACTTTTCACTTTGTGCGTCTTGCAATATCTTCTCCAGTTCCCTTTAAAGTGCCAGAGAAGCAGATTATTCCTCTGGATGGGTTTCGGTGGTGCCATCTGCTAGCCTGATGTAGAGCTGCAGAGAACAGGGTTGGGTCTTAGTTTCTGATGTGTTTCATCTACTGATGGCGTGCCTGCCTCTCCCCACATCCCCTTCCTATTTACCTCCCCTATCTCCCCCTGAAAAAAAACACTCTAGAGAGAGCACAGTGTCTTTTGCAGAATGTGTGCTATTTCCTATCCCAAAGACCAACCAGGTCTTGATTTGTTCTTGCAGCTCAGTGGAAAATTTTCTGTGAGTTTGGGTTATGAGGAGGAAAAGAAATGCATGTACTGCTTCAAAAGTTTCCTATCAAAGTCAGATGAGTCCCCCCCCACACACTGACAGTGTTCTCTTTACCAACTCCTTTCATCCAACCATAAGCTCCTCGGGCAGCATTTGTCTGAATCAAACTTTGCTGAATTTTTAAAAATCAATACTTGAAAGGTTACAACTGTGAACACGACTAAACCTCAATACACATCCTTTGGGTCAACACATGTGATTTTGCTCTACCAATCTGAACTATTCACTGGTGTTATTTGCTCTCACTCATCAGGAAAAGAAAGTTGTCCTGAAGAAATCAGTGAGTTTAATGTCATCACATTCTCAAGTGAATTTTGAGAAGGAAAACAAACATTGGAGACTGTCTGAACAAGAGAACACATTGGCACAGAGGCTGTGATTAGCAAACGCTGATCAGGAATAGCATTCTTACCCCACCAGCTCTGCGTAAATTTTGCCATTCACTTTACCAGCTAGTGCCTTGAGAGCTAAATGTCATGGACCTGTGTTAAGTTTGTAATCTTAATTTGCCCCTTCTCATAAGTACACATCTTTTCCTTCATTCACAGCCCTTCCCCCTTGGCAAAGACAAATTTCTAGGGTTCCCCTTGGATTTTGGAGAGTTTAGGCACTGGGTCCCTGTGGGACCATTACTGTTAAGGTGAAAGGTACTTTAAGAACTATTTTGTCCAAACTCTTTTTCTTTTCAAAAAAGGAAGAAACTGAGGGCTGGAGAAGAATGGGCCTGCTCAAGCTAATTAGTGGCTAACTAGGCTGGAACCTGAATAGAAGTTCAAGAGGGAGTCAACCTGCAGGAAAAAAAAATTATTTTTGAAACAGGGTCTCACTCTGTCACCCAGGCAGGAGTGCAGTGAAGTGATCTTGGCTCACTGCAACCTCTGCCTCCCAGGTTCAAGCAATCCTCTCACCTCAACCTCCCAAGTAGTTGGAACTACAGGCATGTGCCACCATACCCAGCTAATTTTTGTATTTTTTGTAAAGATGAGGTTTCACCATGTTGCCCAGGCTGGTCTCAAACTCCTGAGCTTAAGTGATCCACCTAACTCAGTCTCCCAAAGTGCTGGGATTACAGGCGTGAGCCACTGAGGCCAACCAACCTTCGGAAAAAGATAGAAAATTAGTTCAGAGCTTGTTATGTGCCTGACTCTGTGGTTGGATATTTGTAGACATTATCTCATTTAATCTCCTCAACAGTCTTACAAGACAGGTGTTTTATAGATAAGAAAACTGAGATCCTGGGAGGTTAAGTGATTGATATGGTTTGGCTGTGTGCCCACCCAAATCTCATCTTGAATTCCCACGTGTTGTGGGAGGGACCCAGTGGGAGGTAATTGAATCATGGGGGCAGTTCTTTCCCATGCCTTTCTAGTGATAGTGCATAAGTCTCGCAAGATCTGTTAGTTTTATAAGGATGAGTTTCCCTGCACAAGTTCTCTTCTCTTCTCTGTGCCTGCTTCCATCCCCATAAGATGTGACTTGCTCCTCTTTGCCTTCTGCCATGATTGTGAGGCCTCCCCAGCCACATGGAACTGTAAGTCCATTAAACCCTTTTCCCTGTGTAAATTAACCAGTCTTGGGATGTCTTTATCAGCTGCGTGAAAACAGACTAATACAGTGATATATCCAGGCCTACCTAGCTAATAAGTGATGAAAATGGGATCTGAACTCTGGTCTGTCTGCCTCCAGGAAACCATTCTATTCAGAAGAAGCTGCAAACTAGAAGCCTAGAGGTCAAATCTAGTCCACAGTGGTGATCTGTCTGGCTGTGGAGTGGGATTTTTCATTTTATTTTTAATTTTTGAATTAATTGTCAGCATTGACAAACTCAAAGATTTCAAATAAAATCTAGAGTCAGATCCTCTTGATAATTTGCTAGATACAGAGACGTTAGGCCTCGTATTTGTTTGCTAAGGCTGCCCATAACAAAGTAGCACAAAAGAGGTGGCTTAAAAAAACAGAAATTTTGTATGTCATCATTCTGGAGGCCAGAAGTTCATGATCAAGGTGTTGGCAGGGCTTGTTCCTCCTGAGGGCCGTGAGAGAGAATCTGTCCTATGCTTCTCTCCCATTTCTGGTGGTGTGCTGGCAATCTTTGGCATTCCTTGGCTTGTAGCTCTCTGCCTTCATTTTCACATGGCATTCCGTGTGTGTGTGTGTGTGTGTGTGCATCCAAATTTCTCCTTTTTATAAGGACACCAGTCGTTTAAATTAGAGGCTCACTCTACTTCAACATGACCTCATCTTAACTAATTACATTTGCGGTGACCCTATTCCCAAATAAGGTCACATACTGAGATACTAGAGGTTGGCACTTCAACAGAGGAATTGTGTGTGAGGGATGCAGGGGGACACAGTTCAACCCATAACAGGTCTGACTTCCCACATAACAGCAATTGATGCAGCTGAGTGGCAGCTGCCTTTTAGACAGGGGTTTCTGTCTCTATTTCACAAGAGGCCGCACCATACCCAGCCCACTTCTGCATTTCCACTACCTGCCTGGCTTTTGTAGGCACTGAAGTTTCAAGCCCTGTTCTGTGCTGCGTCTTCTCAGGTTATTAACTCACACAAGAGGACTGCACACCTGGGTGGTTTTTCCAGCACAGGTGAAGGCTGTGCTGACATCTGATCCCCCATGGTTACAGGCAGAAGGTGGTCAACTAAGCTCACAGTTAAAGTTGGTGGTAGAGAAGAAAGCAAAGCTAAAGGGGTTGAAGTCATTGGTCCATGTTCTTTCTAACCATTGGAACATACCTGGACATGCTGAGATCAGGGTTCTCACCTCTGACTGTTGCATCTTTGTCCAGCCCTTGATGTAGAGTTCATATAGGAAGAAGGAAAGGAACTCAGAGGGTGTTTGCTCCTGAGTGATGGCAGGGAGGTAAAAAAAACAACAACAACCCTGGCCTGCTTTCTTAGATGATTTTTCCTTTAATTGAAGTTCATAATGCTAATTAGTTCTGTAGTTCTAACAGAAATGACATAGGCACTTCAGCTGACACTCAAGGAAGAGAGGCATATCCACCAATAAAAGGCAACTTTAAAGACTCTGTCTTGGTCCATTCAGGCTGCTATAACATAATACCATAACCTAGGTAATTTATAAACAACAGAAATGTATTTCTTACAGTTCTGAAGTCTGAGAAGTTCCAGATCAAAGTGTTCCAGATCTGGCGTCTGGTGAGGGCCTGTTTCCTGGTCCATATGGCACCTACTCATTGTGCCCTCAAATTCCAGAAGGGGCACACTAATAAGGGCACCAATCCCATTCCAAAACCTAATCACCTCCCAAAAAGCCACATCTTCTATTACCATTCCCTTGGGGGGTTCATATTTCAATGTATGACTTTTGAGAATTCGTGAGTGTCCCACAGACACTCAGATCATAGCAGTTTCATTCTCCCAAAAAGAGACTGTAGGTTGAGGAGGGTGCTGCCCAAACTCATATTTGGAAATCTGATTCCATGACTCCTTGTAACTTGGCTTCATTTGGTTTGATTGACATGTCATTTGAAATCATTAAGAGCACTTAAGCCAAACTGAAAATATGTGAACATGTGACAGCATGCCATTTTCCTCTGCAGGTTATTTTTGAAGTTGCTTTCAATGGTCCCAAAGGAGGCTATGTTGCCCTGGATGATATTTCGTTCTCTCCTGTTCACTGCCAGAATCAGACAGGTGAGCATTCTCTGTCTGTCATTGCATTTTGGGATTTCCTGTTTCAATAGATGTTTGTGGTTAGAACTTGTTTTAATTGCTTTTAATTTTCATATCTTACCCCTTCTCTCATCCTTAAAAAATGATTTACAGGTCATTTTTTTCCTGGAATATTACTCTTCTTTCCCCCCTCACAGAGGGAATCTAATGTTACTGACACCATCAGCCAGTGGCCCTATCTTAGGAAGCTTTTATCTTTCTTTCCCAGGAAAAGAAAATTAAATAATACTAACTTATTCTCACTCCATCTTTCTCTTTAGAGGATCTCTTGGGCCCATAAATGGGTGGCTGGGTAGATGGACAAAGCTCTCACAATCTACTGAATAGAATAATATATTTTAAAAATGCTTTCCAACAGTATGTATCCAAAATTTATAAATGTCCTTATGTTTAAAGATGTTAGTATTTGGTAGACATCTCTAGACAGTTTTAGCTAAATAGCATGTGCTCTTAATTAAACTACTTTCCACTTCCAAGAAGAACCCTTAAATTATTTTATCATGATCAGTTTTGCGATTTCATAAATTTGATGTTTAAAATGAGAGAAATATTTTTACTCTCTAGAAAAATAGGTAAGCAAATTGATTCAAAGTGAATTAGAAAGCAAATGTTTTATAATAAGAAGGATAATAATAATGATAACCCAGATATATAAAATTGACCTTACTGTTTAGTGAATTTGTTTCCTTGAGAGACCAAGGGAGACATTATGGTCACCCCGCCTTATTAATGAGCTCTTATTCTTGGTTATGTAGCATGGAAAGTAATTTATGAACTTGGCGTTTGAGGTCTTTCATTTAAGATAGAGTTGGTTCATAATTTAATACGATTTCGGATACATTCTACAAGTCAATGATTTCGGATACATTCTACAAGTCAGGAGACTAAGAAATTTTTTTGGGGGGAGGGAAGGGGAATTGGGGGTCTCGCTCTGTCACTCAGGCTAGGGTGCAGTGGTGCAGTCACAACTCACTACAGCTTCAAACTCCTGGGCTCAAGTGATCTTCCTGTCTCAGCCTTATGAGCAGTTGGGACTGGCTAGTTTTTTGCTTGTTTATTTTAGTAGAGATGAGCTCTCACTATGTTGTCCAGGCTGGTCTTGAACTCCTGAGCTCAAGGGATTCTCCCACCTTTGCCTCCCAAAGTGCTGGCATTAGAGGTGTGAGCCACAGTTTACATGGAAAAATATTTTCGACTTGAGCTAAACTGTTATCCCAAAACTAAACAGATATCTACTAATCTGCTGAAACTGACTACTGGTTTTCCTAATTCTAATTTTTAAAAGGTTGTAAAACAGATATAACCAGACTAGATTTATATACTTTTCAATGATTTAATCCAAACAATAATCAAAGATTAAGAGAGTCTCTAAGTTTGATATAACACAGAAACCAACATTGTTTTACTTCTCTACATTTGATTCCTCTCTAATCCTATAAGTTAATATTTCAATTACATTCATAGTAATTTCACAACCTCTTTATCATTATTTTTAGACAAGGTCTCTTTTCTATCACTAGGCAGTGACACTGAAATTTATATTGCCTTGTTTTGTCTATGGGAGAAGAGGTGTTTATCTAATATCTGCACTGGGCAGAGGGTGGGTGAAGAGGCAGCTGGAGGTAACAGAACCAACTGAATCACCCAGAAGTAATGTTCAGAAATGCTCCTCCTTTTGAAAAAAAGAGAATTTGTGTGAGCTCTTTCTACTACACAAGTGGTCTGTCTGGTGAAAGGAAAAGAAAGCGTCCAGCAAAGCAAGGACCATGTGTTAAGAGGGCTGTTGACCCCTCAGTCTGCAAAGTACAGACTCCTTCTGTGCGGGAACTTCCACATATATGAGTTCTTATACAGTTAGGTTAACCAGGCTCCATACTCATCTTCAGAACTTCCCACTAAGCCAGTTTGGCTTTAAATGGTTTAATTGCATCATCGTAGTGTTATGCTTAATCCGCCAGGAATGTGGATTCACATCCCTATTCTGCCACTTCCAAGCTATGTGGCATGGGTCATGTTATTTAACTTCTTTGAGACTCTATTTCCACATCTATAGTAAAGATGGAAGAATCTGTTTCACAGAGTTGTTGGGAAGGTTAATGAGTTAATGTCTGTGAAGGCCTTAGCGCAGAGTATGATACACAGCAAATGCTTCATCATGAGACAATATTATTTACTTTATTTTCAAAATATGCCCACCCATCCCTGGAGAACAGTGGGTCAGATTGCAACTAAAGAGAACCAGCAAAGGGTACTTGCTTGATGATTGTGTCAGCTGGAGCCTGCTTTATGTCTTTCATTGAGCAGCTGTGGGCCAGATTGAGTCTTTAGAAGCTAAGCCTTTTAGTTTTCATACTTCATCTTACATTTCACAAATAGTTTATGCCCTTCTGTTTCATAACAGGTGCCAACATTTTTTCCTTATCTTGGTTAACTCCAGACTTCTTGTCTCTGCTTTTCCCAGCTGGATCTAGCATTTTCTTCCCTCATCTCCCTAATAGGCTGAGACAGGAATCATTTCAACATACGAATCATCTTGTTCCCACCATCTGGTTGGGTTTAAAGTTAATCCAATCTCCTGGACCTGAGACCCATCTCATAGTCACAGGTGCTCAACAGCAATGTCATGTTGCCCTCCAATGAACTGCCCCCCTCCCCAGTGCTTCCAGAGAACAGTGAGACCACCCCCCACTTCCTCTCCATCCCTTTGCCCCCTCACTCTCCCCCTCCACAACCGCATTTGTCCCAAATTTTAGAAGATGGGAGCAAGCCTTCCTTTTGGTCTATAAATCTTTGAATACCTAAGAGGTGATCCCATTCACTTCTAGGAATCCTGCCGTAAGGCCCAGCCTCAAACTGAGAGCTCTACTGCTCTGCCATATGCAGACCCAACCTCCTTTCTGGGCTTGGGTCCACCCCACCCCAGGCCAGGGACTGGGTAGATCCTAACACTCATGGGTACGCCTCTCAGAGAATCACTACCTAAATCCCAATATCGGCCATTCATTGACAACACACTGCCCCGACCTCTTGTCTATGTGGAAACCCAGGCCCAATTGCTGCCTAGGCTACAGCTAAGGCTGCCCCAGCCTTTCTTATCTTAAATGCCCCCAAGGGTCTCCATAGCCTAGTCAGTGAGCCTGGCCCTTGTTTCCCCATAGGTCTTCAGTGTGGTGCTGGGTCCCATTGCCTCTCCTACCCAAGCCAGCTTTGAGCTGTCTCAGCCTGCTCTTGGGCAGGCACATGCTGAAGTAAAACTACCCTGCAAGGTTGGCAGTGTAGAGAACACAATGCCCCCAGTATCTATCTTTTAGCACTCTAGGGGCTGATGAGCCTTTTAGATCTGTGGGGTTGATGCTGAGTTTCTCTCCATGAACTCCATGGAGCAGAGGAAAGGATGAGAAATGTTCCCAACTACTCTCAAACTGCAACACATTCCTGCTAATTAGATTATCTTCAAAGCTTCTCATTTCTAAAAAGTTCAAATGTCAGAAAGCAAGTAATTAAAGCTTACATTATGATGCTTTTTGGTAAGTTGCTTAAAGGGACTTTAGTTCTTTTTTTCTTGATCACCAACAGATGCTCAGAGGCTTCCAACTGCCTCTGTCCTCCCTATGCTTCAAATACATCATTACACTTCCCAGCAGCTCAATTTGTGATCCGCCCTTTACTAACACCTCTGAAACAAGCTTGAAGCAAAGGCTCTGCACCCATTCAGGTCACAAACAGGCCTCTGGCCCCATCCTCAGGAATCAGACACTCTCACGGCAGAAGCAGCACTCTAGGTGAAAAAGATTTAGCCCCTGAGTTAGGCTTTTGAGATTTTCTTTTTTTTTTATCAGACCTCCTCAAGACCCCAGGAAAATCCATTTCAAATCTATTCATTAGCAAAATATTATAATCACATCATCAGAAAAATATTTTCTGTATGACTCAGTCTATCACCATGGAGAGAAGTGATCCTTGCTTACTTTTAAGTTTTTTTGATAGGCATTTTTTTTTAGTGTCGTTTTAGGTTCACAGCAAAATTGAGAGGAAGGTACACAGGTCTCTCATAGTCCCCTTGTCTTCATATACATTACTGTCCCCCAGAGTCCATAGTTTACATTAAGGTTCACTCGTGGTATTGTATACTCTATGGATTTAGACAAATGTATAATGATATGTATCCACCATTGTAGTATCATACAGAATATTTTCATTGCCCTAAAAACCCCCTCTATATTCAGGCCAGGCATGCTGGTGCACACCTGTAATCCCAGCACTTTGGGAGGCAAAGGAGGGTGGATTGCTTGAGCCCAGGAGTTGGAGACTAGCCTGGGCAACATGGTGAAACCCTGTCTCTACAAAAAATACAAAAATTAGCCAGGGATGGTGGTGCATGCCTGTGGTCCCAGCTTCTTAGGAGGCTAAAGAAGGAGGATAGGTTGAACCCAGGAGGTAGAGGCTACAGTGAGCCAAGATTACACCACTGCACTCCAGCCTGGGCCACAAAGTGGGACCCTGTCTCAAAAACAAAAAACAAAAAACTCTGTTTTGCCTATTCACCTCTCCTTCCCCCCAACCTGTGGCAGTTACTGTTCTTTTTACTGTCCCCATAGTTTTGCCTGTTCAAGAATATCATATAGTTGGAATCATAGAGTATGTAGCCTTTTCAGACTGGCTTCCTTCACTTTGTAATATGTATTTAAGTTTATTCTGTATCATTTCATGGCTTGATAGCTCATTTCTTCTAAGCGCTGAGTGATATTTAGTTGTCTGGATGTACCACAGTTTATGTATCCACTCACCTACTGAAGGACATAACTTGGTTGCTTTCAAGTTTTGGTGCTTATGAATAAAACTTCTGTAAACTTTCACGTTTTTATGCCACCTTCCACCCCCTCCCACACATCTAATAACTGAGTTAAGATTCTCTTGCAGTTGCCCGAGAGCACTGCTTTAAGATTCATTCCTTCTTCTACCCTCTCCATCTGGGAGAAAGAATGAAAAAAAAAAGGAGGCTGTGAGGGGGAAGATTCATTCCTGATGAGGAACTGACCTACTCTTCTCTTGTGCATGGCACTTGGCAGTGCCACCCCATTTCCTGAGTTAGATGGCCATCTGTAGATTTGGGACTTTTATTTGTTTTTTTATTACCCAGTAGCAGAGGGGTGACTAATACTGAATACTTTAATAGGGTTTCCTGTGGTCTCAAATATCCATGGGAGAATGTCAAAGGATTCTTGTTTGTGTAACATCTTGTTCATTTTTCACAGACTTTATCTTCAGGGCTTAAAGATATACCCTGGTGCTGACAGAATCAGGCAGACCAGGGTGTGGGCTAATCTACCCATCTTAGAGCATTGAGAATTCTCTTCATTTCCTCTTCTCCAGTCTGGCTCATCTGGATTTGCTCCTGGTGCACTTCCTAGGGCATATCCCCTGAGATACAATCAGGTTCTAGTTATATAGGAACACTTTTTACCTAATTTTTTTTTTGTAATGTGTTGTTAATCAGTTACTTTTTAAAATTTAATTTTCTTGGAGCTCTTTAATTTTCTATCATTTCAAACTCGGACATAATTTGCAGGAAAACTACAAAGAACTCCTATATACTCTTCACTCAGCTCTACAAATTAACATTTTGCCATGTTTGCTTTATCTACCATTTAAAAATAGGTTGCAAACATCATGCCCATTTACCATTAAATATTTTAGTGTGTATTTTATAACCAAACACGTTCTTCAGCGTAACTATAGGATAATTATGGAGTTCAGGAAATTTAATACTGATACAACATTATCAACTTACTTTCAGTCCATACACCAATGTTTCCAATTGCCCCAATAACAACCTTTACAGATATTTGTTCTTCTGGACCAAGACTGAATCTTGCATCCCTGGTAGCATTTGATTGTCATGCGTCTTTCATCCACTTTAATCTGAGTCAGTTCTTCAGCCCACCTGAATGCTTTCTTGCTTTAGAAATTGACAAATTGAGAATATAGTAAGTTTTTATAGTGAGCTGTTTAATCGGCTCACTGCTCCTAGAGCTCAAATGCTTCTCTAGAGATAATTTTCCAGTTATTCAACACATGTCCTCTCTCCATAATTCTGGATTGTTAGACATGTGCGTCAGTATGCAGAGAAGAATCACACTTGGCTGCACCCAATGTATCCCAACTGCTATAGTCACATCCCCTCTGTTCTAAGAGGGCAATCTGAACAGCGTGATTTACAAGCCACTTGTTGATAGGATTAAAAGTTATTCTCAAAAAAGCAGAAGTATTTTATTTGTATAAATGTATGTGGTGCAAGTACAGTTTTGTTACAGGCATAGATTGCATAGTGTTAAGTGAGGATTTTAAGGTATCCATCCTGGAGTAACATACATTTTACCCATTAAGTAATTTCTTATCTTCCATACCCCCTCCTACTCCCTCACCCTTCTAAGTCTCCACTGTCTATCATTCCACTCTCTGTATCAGTGTGTACATATTATTTAGTTCCCACTTATGAGTGAGAGCATGCAGTATTTGTGTTTCTGTGTCTGACTTGTTTTGCTTAAGATAATGACCTCCAATACCAACCATGTTGCTGCAAAAGACATAATTTCATTGTTTTTATGGATGAATAGCATTCCAGTTTGTATGTACATATGATACTTTCTTTATTCAGTCATCCGTTGATGGGCACTTAGGTTGATTCCTTATCTTTGGTACTGTTAATAGTGCTGAGATAAACATACAAGTGCAGTATCTTTTTGGTATATTGATTTCTTTTCCTTTGAGTAGATACCCAGTAATGGGATTGCTGGATCGAATGGTAGTTCTATTTTCATTTTTTTGAGAAATCTCCACACTGTTTTCCATAGCGGCTGTACTAGTTTACATTCTCACTAACACTGTATAATCCCTTTTCTCCACCTCCTCATCAACATCTGTTAATTTTTGTCTTTTTATTAATAGCCATTCTAAGATATCTTGTTGTAGTTTTAATTTGCATTTCTCTGCTGATTAGTGATGTTGAACACTTTTTTATATACCTGTTGGCCGTTTGTATGTCTTCTTAAAGAGCAGAAATCTTTTATGTTCCCTCCAGACTATCTGGGGTGAGGTATTTATAGAACAGGGTAAATAATACCAGAACTCGGCGAAGTCAAAGCAATAGCAGTACCCATGACAGATCTGTGACTCTTTGACCTGCACGATTTAAACTGAGTGATGACTTTCTTCAAGCGGATCAGCTCCTACTACTGATGGCAAAGTAGATGGCAGCTGTGTTTCTGACACAGAGATTGAGCAACAAAGGAAAATTATCTCTGTAAAATATCTAAAATCTTCATCTTAGAAACAAATTGAGTCCCATAAAATATCTTCCTTCTCCCGTTTTTTATTTTAAAACTTTTATGAATGAATTGTGAATTGTGAAGGAGTATATGAATAAATGTTCACAGTCATGAAAGGAAATTTCTTTTGAAATCGGGTACTTCATTTTTATAATGTGAACAGTGCTCCTTTCTCCCTTCCCTTTAGAAAGGAAAAGAACAATTTTCCTGTCATGTTGAAACGCTGGTTTGATGCTAACCTGTCAGCAAGCCCTTTGGGTAAAGATATTTAGTTGTGTTTTACTTCTTCGGTCTCCCCTGGTACAAATGTGTATATATAAATATCTGTCAACCAGTTGATGTAGTCCTTTGAGATCTTGGGGACTGATTGTCATTAACTTTGTTTGTCCTTTGCTCAGAACTTCTGTTCAGTGCCGTGGAAGCCAGCTGCAATTTTGAGCAAGATCTCTGCAACTTTTACCAAGATAAAGAAGGTCCAGGTTGGACCCGAGTGAAAGTAAAACCAAACATGTATCGGGCTGGAGACCACACTACAGGCTTAGGTAAATCAGGCATCTGTCTATGTGGGTACATCTTGGGTAGTCGTAAGCTTTATTGGCCATTCCTACGTCATACCTGCAAAGACATTGACTTAAAGAAAAAAGGCAACTGTGAAGAAGCAAAGACAATTAGTAATCTTGTGTTTGACAATTTTTTTAAATTGAAATTCAAGTTGCTGTGTCAGCAGACCTATTTGCTAGTTAATTAAACAGGCAAATCCTTGTAAAATATTTAGGAACTCACTTTAGATGCCATACCTTTAAGGAAAAAAATCTGTTGAATTGTATTTATATGAAATCTCCAGAAGAGACATATTCCCACAGATAAAAAGAAGATTTCAGTGGTTGCCAGGGGCCATGGCAGAGGGAATAAGAGTGTTTAATGAATATGGGGTTGCCTTTGGGTGATGAAAATGATCTGGAACTACATAGTGGCAATGGTTGCATAGCATTGCGAATGCTCAAAATGCCACTGAATTGTGTACTTTCAAATGGTTAAATGGTAACTTTTATACCATGTATATTTTACTATAATTTAAAAAATCTATTGTGGAGGGGAAAAGCTATTAAAAAATGTTGAGTGGACACTTGATGGATATACTTAAAAGGAGCTTTTGGAAACAGGAGTCTGAGTGCTTCTTGTGTAGGGATTACCTATTAATTTAATGATAGCCTTTGTGGAGCCCAACCCAGTGTAGACAAGTGTGAAGAGCTTGATCTCAAGGAGTTATTCAACACATATTTATATACTGGAGACTGAGGTGAGTTTACCATGGAGCTGGTGAAGCTTAGGTTCCAGGGCCCCTGCCTTGTACCAGCCCTGAGAAAGGCCTTGAAAGAGCCCTCACAATGTTGTGCTTATAATTTTGTTTCTTTTCTTAGAGGTTGCCTAACCTGTAGAAATAAAGGCCCTACCGACTCTATTCTGACCTTGGGCTGATTAACTGGAAAATCATCTCTAGAGAACCATTTGAGTTCTGGGAGCAGTGAACTGATGAAACGGGGAGCTGTTTAGGGACAAAAAGACTCACCATACTCTCAGTTTGTCAATCTTCAAAGTAATAAAACATTCAAGTGGACTAACTCCTGGGGAATACAATAGTGAACAAATCTGAAGTGAATCCCACCTTCACTGGCAGACAATCTTTTCAGTGGGCAAGAGAAACATTAGACAAATACATACACAAACAAACTTATAATCACAGGTTGTGGCAAGTGCTGCTGTCAGGGAGGAAAAACTTTTCTTCTACCCTCTTAAGTTCCATGTTTGTACCTGAGAATTAAAGCGATGTAAGACAGATTAGCAAGAAAAAAACACAAATTTTATTTAGTATTTTTAATTGTACTTGGGAGCCTTCATAAAAACAATGAAGACCCAAAGAAGCAGATAGGCCTGAGAGCTTCAATACCATTTTAAACAAAGGATAATAAAATTGTGGAGAAGTAGCAGGACAAAAAAGAAAGGGGGGTTAGGGGGCTTAAGTTTCCAGGGGCAGTAAATTGTGGGAAAGTGACTAGGAAATATATGAAGGAAACTAATGGAAGATGAGGGTTATGTTAGTAAGTTTGTTTGTACAGATCCATTTTGGTGTCAACTCCCAGTCTTTAGTGACAGAATGTTCTTCCCTTTCTGGGACAGGGAGAACACCTTGTTTGTAGGAAATTTTATGACCTGCTTTTAAGTATAATAGAAAAGGGGAGGTCAAAGGGTCCTTTCTGCCTCCGCTGTTTCTCAAGTGACTTTACCTCAAAATAATCAAAATGCCAAAGTGACATAGTTTGGGGTGGCACGTTCTGATCCCCTTCTTTCACAGTAGAAAGAAATGAAGAGAGAGCTCTGAGAGAGAATAGAGGGAAGAATCTAATTTTGGTTCAGCATTCAGGGAAAGTTTCTCTGAGGAAAGCTGCCGTTAGCTGGGATAGTGGGCGTGACCTGGGCAGAGGGAACAACATCTGTGAAGGCCTCGAATTTGGAAAGAGCTGGTCACACCACAGAATAGGAAGGTCTGTATGACTGCATCGTGGGGAGGAATGGTGAGGAGGAGAATGGAGGAAAATGATGTCAGAGAGGGAGCTAGATCCTGGGTGTGGCAGGCCACAGGAAGCATTTGGAATTTTATTATAGAGGACATGAGAAGCCACTGAGAGTTTTTAAGCAGAAAAAACACAGATGAAACTTAGGTTTCAAAAAGGTTGTTCTGGCTGTTGTACGGCCACCCATAATAGTCTGCTCAGGCAGCCATAACAAAATACCACAGATTGGGTGGCTTAAACAACAGACATTATTTCCTCACAGTTCTGGAGGCCATGAGTTCAAAATCAAGGTGCCATCAGGGTGGTTTCTGGTGAGGGGTCTCTTCCTAGCTTGCAGGTGGACACCTTGTCATGTGTCCTCACATGGCCTCTTGGTGTATGGAGGGAGAGAGAGCTCTGGCATGTCTTTCTCTTCTTTTGAGTTAAATAACTGGGTAAAACTAAACGGTATACAAAGACTGAGGCACCCAAAAGAAAACTGACAGGAGGAGGAGCAGAAAAAAGAAAGAGAAAAAGAAGGTGCGTTTTGTTTTTGTTTTTGCTTTCTTTTCTGCCCAGGCTTTCCAGGATACAGGAACTCATTTTAAATTGATCATGGGGATGGTGGGAGGGGGAGATTCCTGATTTTATTTTTCTTTGTTATTTAGAAGGAATAAAGGAAGAACACAGATCTTCAGCACATGGGAGGATCCATCTGATGAAAAACCTCCCCTTCAAGGGCAGGTTTAACATTTGACCAAGAGAGGAGTAGACTCTGCCCAGACACAAACTTCCACAAAGACTGCCAGGCCAACCTGAAATCCTGCCATCTCTATAGGTCACTAAAGAGATAATAAGAAAAAAATCTGCTCTGGGCCTTCTATTCACTATGGTTCAGTCCTCGGAATATACAATCTAAGTCAGATGGTTGACCCAAGCAGCTGGTATCTCCAAGATGATTTCATCCTTTTTGTTTTGTGAAAAGTGTAAATCCTAATTAATGACTGAAATCTGGGCATGTGCTATAGAAAATCTGTACTGGTTTATAAGGTTTACTTAGAATTAAATGAGGTTTCATTTCAATGAGGCACATGGATGTTTTCTGTCACTTAAGCCACAGACATTAGAAAATGATTTCTATCATTTAAAACATAGCTGGTAGTCTTTGCTGTCTAGTTCTACTACTTTAATCACATTTTACCACTTGGCTAATCTAGATTAGATTGTTTTGCATTGCTGATATGCTTTATCTTGTTTGCAGGGTATTACCTGCTAGCCAACACAAAGTTCACATCTCAGCCTGGCTACATTGGAAGGCTCTATGGGCCCTCCCTACCAGGAAACCTACAGTATTGTCTGCGTTTTCATTATGCCATCTATGGATTTTTAAAAATGAGTGACACCCTAGCCGTTTACATCTTTGAAGAGAACCATGTAGTTCAAGAGAAGATCTGGTCTGTGTTGGAGTCCCCAAGGGGTGTTTGGATGCAAGCTGAAATCACCTTTAAGAAGCCCATGCCTACCAAGGTACGGTAGAGCCAATTTGTCCTGTGTCCATGTTCAGTTGCTGGACTAGTTTGTGAATATCCATCTAGCTACTGTCAACTGGTGAGATAGTATTTTCCTTTTGTTCAGGCCTACAGCCTCACCCTCACACCCTACTCCCAGCCATATACAGATTAATCCTTCAGTTACTTTCTGTTTTCTGGGTCTCTGAATCACAGCTACCTAGAGTTTGCTTTTTGTTTATCTCTTAAATTCCCTGAGACTAATCCAAAGACTGGGAGTACATGAATAGTCCAAGTTCAACAGCTGAACTTTAGTTTGAAACTTTAGTCATAATTCTGTCTCTCTCTTTCTCTTTCCCTCCCTCTCTCTCAAACGCACATACACACACTAGTGGGAATGCTAGTATTTTGAAAAGGTGAAATCAGTGAGCCTGGTTCTGCATTGAGGCTTTAAGGTTAACAACCTAAGACTCTAGCTGAACACAGGATGAGAAAGCTCATTAAAAAATATAGAACCAACACTGCCCTAGCCAGAGAGAATTTACATAAGGTAACTGTCAGCATCTGATTTTGATAGAAATGAGAATATAAAAAGAGACCTTTATTGCAGCGGGAATGGAAAAGAAAGCTGTAATCTCTCAAGCTTAGCAACTCATAAACTTAAAGAAGTTTTACAGATGCAGTAAATTCTGTCAACTGCAACTCAGAATGAAACCAGTGTGGGAAAAATCCATTTTGTTTCAACCTGTGTCAGTCAGTTGGCAAATATCTCTTGAGTATCCTGTCTGTGTAAGACAGGGTCCCAAAGAAAAATAAGAAAGTGCTGTCCTTCAAACAGATAACTCACAGAGTGGTAGCTCAATAAACATTGTTGAATGAAGGAATGAATGAACGAACGAATGAATGAATGAATGAATGAATGAATGAATGAATGAATCAGACTATCACATTCAAATCCAGGAGTTACCCAAAGTGCAGGCTCCCCTGGGGAAGCTTCAAACTTGGGGGAACAGTAGAACCTGCACAGACATTCATAGCCTGAACTTCTCTTGGTTACAACCATCTGGATAGAATCATAGCTGTGTCCATATATAACTTCCTGCTAAAGAAATCCAGTACACCACTCCTATCACAATGTTGCCTGGTTACTTTTAGTCCATTACAAAACCCGCCAGGACATCATTAAATCTTTACCATGGTTAATCAAAGACCTCTGAAAATCTTTTGTTTCCATTGCTAGGTAAGAAGAAAAACTATTTTCCATTGCTAGGCAGGAATGGCAAGGCAGTCTCCTTGACTTACTGATTTCTAAAAGAGTTAAACTAATTTCTAATACCTCTAGCAGAGTAGAAGCATCTACGTTTTACCACAATCTTACAGAAACGGCTTCTTTTTATTTGTATGCAAATTAAGTAGATAGTGTTGTAAGTATTCCTTGCATAATTCTATCAGTCTTTGATCACCTAACTAAATTGAGATATAATGCTCAGCTCCCTGGATGAGCGAGGAAGCAAACAGGTGTTTCTGGTACCATGTTTCTACCCTTAGCTTAGACTCTTGCTCTTTAAGCTCATTGCCTAGACAATATCAAATAATTTTTGAATGAGCCTTTCTTCCTATAAATGTCATCTTATAGATGGACTCTTGCAGCAGCATTATTGAACTTCCCTCTTCGATTTATTAGTCCTGGAGAAATCCAAGTTTCTCTGCACCTCTTAGGGATCCCAAAGGCCTAACTTGAGTTCCCATCACCAATTATTTAACTCTTGCAAGTATAGTAATACACACACACACGCATGTACACACACACATACACACACACAAGCAAATACCAGAGTCCCACAATCAGGGGTGCACCAAAAGTAATGGAATCTTTGTTACACTCTATGTCCTATTATGCTGATTTTTTTTAAAAGGAGGATATAATAAGCATTTTATTTATTCATTTGGCTTTATTTATTTATTTATTTATTCATTCATTTTCTTTACTCACCCAGTGTTTATTAGGTACATGCTCAGTACAAGGAATATAAAAATGAGGCTCAGATCCTACCCTTGAGGAAGAAGAGATCACAGATGGTAGAAGATTAAGATACATAAGCAACTAACTACCATGCAATGTCATGTAAAGCCCACGGAAGGGCTACATAAAAAGACAGAGGAGTAGTTTTACCAGTTGCTGTAAAAAATAATGGCAAATAGAGACCCAGCTGAGCCACTGTTTAGATGGTTAAAATTCAGGCCATGCTGGATTCTGACTCCTGCTCATCACTCCACTCATCTCACCCCACCCCACTTTATCCTCTATTAACAAACATGGGTTGTTTAGGAATCTGCCCATTCCTTTATAGTGAGTCTCTGCTTATACCTGAATTGGTGCACACCTCCTAGCAGATAACGGTGCCCCTGGGAATTTGCCCTTTTCTTTTCTGGAGGCCAGCTACCAAGCCGCCCAGCAACTGCACAGTTCCCCACAACCACTTAGGGAAAAATGGATCTAGACCCAGTGGGGGCAGAAAAGTTCTTACAGCACTCAGAAAGAACGAGTTATGGATTCAGCCCCAGTGCAGATGAGGAGACAGTACAGTTCAACACTAGAAAACTCTGGCTACCTGTCTCAAAGTGGCCCTTAGTTCTTGGCAGGTCCCTGTTACACAGAAATAGCTTCTCAGAGAGTAAAAGAACCATTTGATATCCACCATAGAAGCATGCATTGGGTAAGGCAGGAAACTGAAGTTCACTTACTTATATAACATATACAGGTTGAAATAAACATACAAAAATATATTTAAGACAAGGGATAAAATGAGAAGTCAGAGTTTCCCTCACTAGTCCCTACTGCTGAACTCAAAATTCTACTTCCAGCCAGGTGTAGTGGCTCACACAACACTCTGGGAGGCTGAGGCGAGTGGATCACCTGAGGTCGGGAATTCGAGACCAGCCTGGCCAACATGGCAAAACCCCATCTCTACTAAAAAAATTACAAAAATTAGGCAGGCATGGTGGCATGTGCCTGTAATCCCAGCTACTCATTAGGCTGAGACAGGCGAATTGCTTGAACCCAGGAGGCGGAGGTTGCAGTGAGCCAAGATCATGCCACTGCACTCCAGCCTGGGCAACAGAGCAAGACTCCATCTCAAAATAAACAAACATTAAGACTAACTGCTTCATTTGGCTGGGTGTGGTGGCTCACACCTGTAATCCCAGCACTTCAGAAGGCCAAGGCAGGCATATCACCTGTGGTCAGGAGTTCGAGACCAGCCTGGCCAACATGGTGAAACCCCATCTCCACTAAAAATACAAAAATTAGCCAGGTTGGGTGGTACACACCTGTAGTCCCAGCTTCTCAGAAGGCTGAGGCACAAGAATCGCTTGAACCCGGGAGGTGAAGGTTGCAGTGAGCCAAGATCGTGCCACTATGCTCCAGCCTGGGTAACAAAGCAAGATTCCATCTCAAAATAAATAAATAAATAAATACATATTTAAAATTCACTTCCACCTTTTGTTTTTCTGATGGTTTTTCTTCCTGATTCACTGATGGCTTCCTCTATAACTCTAAATATATTTCCACCTCCATTTCTTGATTCATTAACCTTAACTGTGTTGGCTGACTCCCTACTATGAAAGAGAAGGAACTTATACTATTCCTTCTATTCCTTGTGCTTTTCTCTCTCTTCCTCATAATTTTTAGTTTTGTTTTTATTTTGAACATTTTTTCTTGGTTCCCTTTACAACTTTAATATACTAAACCATCTATTTTTGGGTCCATAACCTTTAGATAGTGTCTCTTGACACCCCACCATGTTAAAATGAATAAATCTCCCCGACCCCGCATTTCCCTTCACCTCTCTTACCCCCTTGACTTCCCAAATTCTCCCAGATATACAGTTACTGAACTTTCACATTGTTATGGCTTAGAACATTTATATTTCTACAGTTAAGCCTTCTGTGCTTTGCTTATGGCATAATTTCCCTATGAAGGCCCCCTTGGCATTTTGAAGAGGACAGTTGTGCCTTTGTGGTGAGAACATTTCTCACCTTCCTGGATGTTTAGCATCTGTGATTACTGCAAAAACCAAAATTATTTCCACACATTTCCAAATGGTCCTAGAGGTGTCATCCTATCCTTGGATGAGAACCATTGGTCTTTAAATTGAATCTGACAATTGAAATTAAAACCATCCTCACCTGCCATTCATTCTTGCTCCCCTGCAATCTGTCTCTGTCCAGCAGTAGAGTTATCAAGCTGCAACCCTCCCCTGCAGGGACCCTTTGGCTTCCTTTTGCTCTTAGAGAAAAGGCATGCTCTAGCATCAGCCACCTCCCCAGGTTTACGTCTTGCATTTTCCATTGTAATCACACTGAGCAATCAGTTCCTGGGACACACTCTGCTCTCTCCTACCTTATATTATTGCATTCCCCGTTGCCTCTGCCTACATGCTTCTTATTTAGATCTCAGCTTAAACCTCACTTCCTCAAAGAATCCTTCTTTGACCCCACTCTCCGTGCCTATACAGCATGGAGAGGTTAGGGTTCCCTGGCATCCTATGCTTCCCTTCCATCATCGTGGAGACAGCATAACACAGTGATTAGGAGAATAGACACAGCAATCTCTCTAGTTTTAAACCCCAAGTCTGCCACTTGCTAGCTTTGCAATCAGTCAGTTTTCTTAATTTCTCTCAATTTTCCATCTGGGACCAAAAACCTAGCAATGTAGTTGGCACTCAGTTGGTGCTCACTAATTGTCTGTTGACTGATTGTCACATTCTGACTTTTGAGCAGGGATTATTCACCTTCATTAAAATCACCTGGGGAGGGCCAGTTATGGTGGCTCACACCTGTAATCCCAGCACTTTCAGAGGCAGAGACAGGTGGATTACCTGAGGTCAGGAGTTGGAGACCAGCATAGCCAACATGATAAAACCCCATCTCTACTTAAAAATATTTTAAAAATTAACCGGGCATGGTGGTGCATGCCTGTAGTCCCAGCTGCTCGGGAGGCGGAGGCAGGAAAATTGC